CAAGTTCAGCAGCTGCAAGGCTCTCCATCCAACGTTCTTCAGAAACTGTCTAACTTTCACTCTTCCTGTCTGCGCACACATACACAAACAAATACCTCCTCTCTCAATTTTCCACTCACTTCAATAATGCCAGGGTTCTCCTTAGTGGGAAAAAAAACCCCAACAAGACATGCAAGAAACTGCATTTACTGAAAGACAATTGCTTTAGTAGTGAGCTGTTCACATCTGCCATGTTCTGCACAGTCCAGTAACAATCTGGTGCCCTCTGGTGTTTCATAATGTTACCAACATTACTGCAGATGAAGGAAAGCCTTATGTGCAATAAAAAAAGAACCTGCAAATCACTTTATAAAATGTTATATCAAACATTGTTTAAAAAGGTTTCAGTTAAACCACATCAAAACCACAATTACAACAAACAATTCCATTAGTAAAAAAAATAAAATAAAAATCCACAATAACAAAATGCATATTTAATAAAAAAAAATAATTTTTGTCTGTGGTAAACGGTCACTGACTTAATTTGTACTAAACCGGCTACATTGTTTACGGTTTTATTCATTTAAAATGAAATTTTACCGCTTTTCTAAATCCATCTGTCCATCTCTCTTTCAGGTGAACACACAATCAGGCAGAGATGGAGAGGAGCAATCTAAATAAATGGTTATTGGGCAGTAAACAGGTGTAACGTAAGATTGAGAGAACACTGCTTATTTATCAGTCAGCTGTTACCTCTAGGCATCCCCGTTGTACCAGTCACATCTATTACACTACAGTACACGCTGTGCAACACAGGAGGACAACGCTCGCCTCCAGCATGACGACATTCAGTAGAGACGGAAGGGAAGGAATGGGTTTGGGAAAGGAAGGGCGAGAGATTAGAGGGCTGAGTGCAGTTGACAGCCATGACAAATCTCATTGCCAGAGGGGAGTCAAAACACCCACAAGCATCCTGAAGGCTATTTTTACCCAGAGTGCTTTGCATGCTCATCCAAAAACCCAAGAAATTGAGTAGAACATTAGGAAGAGAGCACTGGCAATGACGATACCCCACAGGTGAGCTGAAATACCTGTACAGTTCCGTTGTCAGTTCCCAGGGCCACACGCGAAGCATTTCTGCTGATGCAAGTACAGCGAATCCTGGATGGCAACTCTTCGCTCTCAAACACAACGGCACCTGCCAATCCGGTCCGTACCTGATGGCAGAGTTAGATGTCATATATACATGCAATCAACCAAAAAACAGCAGCAAGCGAACACTAGACACACAGGTCTCTGGTGGACCGTACCTGTAATCGGTTTCTGCTGTCTGATGCCACTATTGTAACATCACTTTGGGAGAAGAGAACATCAGAATCCCTCTTCAGAGCCACAGCAGAGGAGGTGTGAACCCGATCAGTCTCCCACAGCTAGACAAGCGTTAACACTTCTTGTGATAAGTCAATTCTGTTCAAACAATAACTGCAAAAAAAAAAAAAAACCCGTCACACTTCAGGAAGAGAGGGACCAAAGCAAGCTTACCCTGATGGTCTGATCATCAGAGGAGGACAACAGGAGTGAGCCGTCAGGTGAAAACTGGACACAATGAACCCAACTCAGGTGCCCATTGCATTCGGCTTTCTTTTTACTGGTCTCAAAGTTCCACAACTTGGAGAGAAAAAAAAAAAAACAAGTCAGGATTACCTTGTTTTACATTGTTCATTCTTAATTGTGGTAATTCAGTTTTGAGATTTCTCACTGTACAATGGTAAACCCTACGTTAACATTCTTATTTGCATATGTAAGAGGCTAATAACATTGATTGGACAAGGGCAGAACACATTCAACTTTGTCTGCATGTCCTGTAAACCTGCACTGGCTGTTTAAAACATACACACTTCTGTTCACGTTTGGGGTTAGTAAGATTCTTAAAGTAACTAACACTTTTATCCAGCAATTAAATTGATCAAATGACAAAAAAAAACACTTGTTACCATTGATTTTCAAA